AAATTTACACAAAGTCTCTTTTCATCTCAATAATCAATTCTAAAAAAAAAGAAGAAAGAGTTCAATTTGAACCCTATATATGGTCAAAATAAGTCCCGCCAAAAATGAATCTAGACTATTCATTTTGTGAATTTCAAGACCTTAGCCTTTATAAACTCAAAATTATTTTTTTATTTTTTAACATTGTTCATCTGATGATAATAAAATCATCCAAAAAATTTAGAAATGAAAAAATCTTTCTAAAATCTAGATCTAAGCATCTCACGAAAATGAACGCTTTATGTTAATTGGGTTAAAAACTTACTTTTTTAAATTGTGTTTTTAATTTTATTTATTTTATTATTATTATTATTATTTTTTAAGAGAATAAAAGGGGTGTATATTTCAAAATTAAATGACCATGTGATAGTTTTGTAGGGTTGTTGCATCGTATTTATATACAACCAGTCGCCTGAAAACATTGCCCCAAAAAGCGAGCCATTGACATAATGAAACATTACCTTACCCGAACCTCCTCTCTATCTCAACCCATTTCTGCGAGTAAACTAAAGGCCTCTCTCTCACATAAGCTCTCATCCCTCAGCGAGTAAACGGCTTTTCTCGGTCCCTCTTATATAAGCTCGAAGCTCCATGCCTCTGCGAGTGAAGGTCTCTCTCTCAGAAGCTCTCACAGAAACTCCCATCTCTCTGCGAGTAAACGGCTCTCCTCTCTAGCTCTCACAGAAGCACAGAGCCCTCTCAGAAGCATTGTTAGAAGAAGCACGGAGCCTCTCAGAAGCTCAACTCCCTCTCACAGGTATGTATATGCTATTATGATCATTTTTTTTTTATGCATTATAAGACCTGATTTATATATTTTTTTATCCCTGATGTATGAAACTTTGAAGCCCTAATTTTCAGAGCCCTAATGTATGCATTTCTTTATTGCATTTTTCAACCCTAATTGTCGAATCCCCAAGTTAGTGCATTTTTTCGTGTAAATTTTTTTTATCCCAATTTTTCAGTCCAACAATTCTCATCCCATCCCAATTATTTTGATCCCTAATTTACAGCCGTATGCTATCTAGCCCGTTTGAATTCCAGTATAGTTTTGCACTAATTAGGGAACTCCATTTTATATTTTTAATTTCCCTTGTCCCGATCACAGAAGTTCAGGAAAACTGCCATAATTTGGGGTTTATCTTTCTCTCTCTATAACTGGTGAAGCAAGTCGAGATTGTGCAATATCTTTCTCTCTCTATAACTGGTGAAGCAAGCCGAGATTGTGCAATATCTTTCTCTCTCTATAACTTGTTAGAGTTGGTTGTTTAGAAGTTTGCACAAAATATTGGAAAAAACGCTTAGCTCCATTAGTTTCTATATCCAATTCTTTTCTCTTTGTTATTGAGAACTTAAGATAATATCAGAAGTTAGAAGACGACGTATTATGAAATATTATTACTTGTATAAGTTTTTGGAAATTTGTAATTTGTGAGAATGTATTAATCGCTTTTTAAATTGCATTTTTCTTTCATTGAAAGAGAATCAGATGTTTTTAATTATAAGAAAACATTTTTTTTAATTTACACTGTAAAATCTATGGATGTAGTGGTATTGTTGGAAAACTATCACCCTCAATGTTGACTGAATAAAGTAAAATATTATATTGTTGAATTTATAGGCTGTTGCTAACTTGTTGCCAAATATGGTCAAGGAGATATTATCTAGAAGTTATGCTAATAAAAAAAAAAGAAAAAGAGGAGAAAAAGGAAATTCTAGAGATTCTTGTTTTGATGTTCTTTAATGCTTGATTTTGAGTAGTTGGGCAAGGGGATCTTTCTTAAAGGAGGCAAGTTGGTGGTCTGTTTTGAAATATGTATCTGATTTTCTTTTCTGTTTGTGAAGGGGAATATGGCCAAATCTTTCCTTCTTTAAGCTAGTGTTTGCTTAGGTTTGCTCTTATTGAGTAGGACTGTAGGAGACAGTAGTGGGATCAGTCCCTTGTCCACTTTAGGTGTTAAAGCTTTATGAAGAAGGTATTTGGGTTAGAATTTATTTTTAATTTTTTCGATGAGGAAAACTGCTCATGGAAAGAAATTGTAAGAAAGGTAAACTCCATGGCAATATCAAACTGTTTCCCAACCTACACCAAGCCCCTACAGTATCTGGAATGAGAACCAAGCTCCTCTTCCCCTTTCTGGAACTTGGAAATTATAGATGCATGAATGCTGGTTCATTTAGGTGTATTCTTTCTTTTTGACTTTATTATTGTTTAATGGATGTTTTTCTATTGTATCTTGCTGTTTCATTTGTTTTATCCTGCATATCCATATGCCATTGGCAATATAATGGTGCCTCTTGCATGTCAAGCTGCTCGCTCCATGATTTGTTTGAAGCTTATTTTTTCAAGAGCAGTGAATATAACTCATTTTTCATTCCCTTGTCCATCTTTTTCTTTGAAATTTGTTCTCCCTGTTGAGAAACTATGGTGTTTTATGGAATTTTTGTTTTTTGTTCTACTATGTTATATGGGAACATATGATTTGCTTATCAAAGGGCAAGTTGATGGATTGATCTTGTCCACTAGTGTTTGTATTACTATGTGTGTGATGATTTCATTGCCAGGATGGATTCATGTTATCCCTTATCTCCTCTATACATAGTCACAATTAATTATTGTTTGATAGAATGTTGGCCCCAAAATGGATTTGATTTTGCTTGATAGAAGGTTGGATCAAATTTTGGCAATATGTATGGATTATGGGTGTGTTCTCCATTTAGGTATGAACCCTGAAGAAGCAAATTGTAAGGAACAATCTGACAAGAAAAAAAAAAACTTTATATGGACTCCAAGTGAAGACGACTATTTTCTTGACCTCATGGGCGAGGAGGTCAAGGCAAAGCGAAAGGTGGGAGCTACTTTCACCACAATAGCTTCGAGGATTATGGTAAAGGCAATAAAAGCCAAATATTGTGAAGAAGTTGAAAAGGAAAAATTAAGAAAATAGAATAAGAACCTTAAAGGCTGATTACAGCCATGTGAAACAATTGATCGGGTGGAATGGCGTCAAAAAGATGGTGATAACCGATGAAGCTGTTTGGGAGACTTTCGTTGTGGTGAGGCCCACATTTCTTTACTTATAAATGTGCCATGTTTCCATATTTCTACCTATTTTAAACCTTGTGACAATTGTCGATTCATTTAATGTGCAGACCAATGCTTGAGCATCAAAATTTAGAAGAGGATGACAAGAAGGGTTGTTATCAATGAGGAGTTAATGTTTGAGAGAAGAGAATGACGAAATGCTCGTTGGAGGCGTAGGAGAAATACTCCAAATGCGGATGATACCGATACCCCTCTAGGATTGCGTGAAGAGATTGCTAAGATGTGAGAACGCCATCGAGATAGGCACTAGGTTGTGGTAGTTTGTAGGTCATCTATATTATGTTTTTGAAGGAATTGACACTTCATGGTTATGTTGTGGTAGTGGGTTTTTTTTTTTTTAACAAGTTGTGATTGAAATATTTGCAAATCTCTCATCTCCCCATTGGCTATCCATGCATTATTTGCTGAGGACTGTTCTCTCTAATCAATGCAGTCTTGGTGCTGGTACATGAGATGTTATTGTGCTGATTAATTATTGCAATTATTATAATGGATATTATTCTCAAATGCTAGCATTTATAATGTCATTCTCTTTTAAAACGTGAGAGAGATTAATGTTGGGAATAATGAGGTAATTTGGGTTTTTTTGAAGCATAATGTGACGAGTTGCCCACTCGATTTAAAGGAATATAATGAGAGAGAGGGTAGAGTCGGTAGAAGGGAGCAATTTTCAAATAGTAGTGAATTTCATTCTTTTTCACCCCGTTTGATAGAAGAGTGTTTAATAGGGAGGGAGCGAGAGATGATTAAATAGTAAATTAAAATCAAGTTCTATTCAAAGTTTGGTGTAAATATTTTCACACCAACTAAATGCTACCAAACATTTGAAACTGTTCACGCAGTGGTTTTTAAATTGGGAAGGCTTTTTATGTTCTCTTTACAACCTAGAAGTTATATCCTCTTCTTACCATCCAGCCGTCCATTTTTAACAAGAGAGCCACTCACCGTTTGATCTACATAAGTATTTCTATGTTGTAGGGGACCATAGAAAGCTTTCCCTTTTAAATGTGCTGCCAAATATGATAAATAAACAGCATATGCAAATATTTACACAAACAAAGTATTTACATATATAAATATATCCTGGAGAATATTTATGCGCAAACCAAATGTAACCTCAGAGAAATATTTTCGCACTGCCCTAAAAAAAAAATTAAAAAAATGGGTATAAGTGTAAAAATCAGAAATTTAAGAACGAGTTTTAAAATAACAAGAAGACGCACGGCAGCTCGACCCTAGTTTGGAGTGCTTTCTATGTTAAACTAAACTTACAATAGGAAGACACTATATAACATCCATTGGCCTGCCCCACAAAACTTGCACCAAAGTCCATTCACAAACGCCGAGTTCCTTAGTTAAAGGGTAAGGTTTGTATACGGCGCTCCGCACTATCGAAGTCATGCATACCTCTAAAATTTATTTGGAGATGCAGTTCTGGTGTCAAAAATTTTTAATGGTTTGAAAATCTATTTTTATCTTTAGTTATATAATTTAATATTTAAAAAATGATGATCTAGATTGGCTTGAAAATCTTTTGTATCTTTAGTCATGTTAGGGTACTCATACATATATGAATATTTTTTTAATGTATTTAACATTTTTTTATACTCATTGCTCCTTGTTTGGTAATACAATTTTTTTTACATTTTTCGGCACTATGAGGAGTAGGATAGTGGTCTAGGAAGGGGTCTGACCTTAAACTTTCTTTTAACTCATCCCAAGCATGGGTAAAAGGGGTGGATTGTCTTAGATGGGCAGCCAACGTAAATCTATGCTAAAACTTAGGAGAGATTGAGTAAGATGTCAAATGTAAAATTATACTTGGATCGAAAAAGTGGAGATGTACAACTAGAGTTTTATGTAATAGCCGCATACCAATGAAGCTGAAGATGAAACTCCATATGACAACTTTGAGACTAACTTTATTTTATGCGGCGGAATGTTGGATGGTCAAAAATCAACAAACCCATAGAATGTGTGTAGTTGAGATGGGGATGTTAAGATAAATGAGTGGCATAACAAAAATGGATAAAATTCGCAATGAATGCATTTGAGAAATTTTAAGTGTGGTATCAATAAACGATAAGATGAGAGAAAATAGACTTAGGTGGGTTGACCATGTGTAACACAAATCCAAGAGGTGCGAGTTAGTTCAAGTGAAAGACTAAAAATAGACAATGGATAGGCCCAAAGGGATATAGTTAGAAGTAGTGAAAAATATATGAAGACTTATGACCTCATTGAAGTTATGATCCTTAATAGCGCATAATAACGAACTAGGAATGGTGTAGTCGAGCCCAATTAGTTTAAAAAAAGCTTTAACAATAATGATGATGATGACAAGGGATAGGATAGATATTTCTATAAGAAAGTAATAGCATTTTACTAGTAGTTAGAAAGAAACTATTGTTCTATAGGTGATGTCACCCCTCATATAGATGATGTCATCATTCACTATAGTTAATAATTTTTGTTTAATAAAAAATTCATATTTATCCCTAATTAATTATATAAAAACCCATAAAAAAAAGTTATCATATGGTAAGATAAAAGTATCAAAGATCAAAAAATATTGAGTACTAGGAAATATTTATATGTTGAATACCCTAATATTACCCAATTTAAAATTTTAGAAACCGTGATCTAGATCTAGAAACATTTGAAACTAAACAATCCAATAATTTTTTACAAGATGCCTAATTTTTAAGATTTCAATTTTTTTGTTTTGTTTTCCATATCCATAAACCTTGAAGTCAAGATGATTGATTGAAGGGTTCTCCAATATTAGAATACCCTCTCTAGATAATTATTGAGATACACCCTACTTCAATAGTAAACAATTGCAACCTTTGAGGGACTTTTTCCTTATTTGAACTCCTCTCCAATATATTTTTCAACTCTCTCTCACCCTTCTCTCTCTATAATTACCCAAAAAAAAAAAAATCTATGTATTTTTCACCTCTCACACTCTTATAGTGGACCTTTTAACAATTCCTAACTACTCACTTATTTACCCTTTTCCTCGCTATCTACTCTATCCCTCTATTAATCATATCTCCTTCTTACCTGTGGTACCCTAGTTATTTAACTCGACTCTCTCTCGGTCTTCCTGGTTATTTAACTCGACACACGCACACACACACTTTCTCTCTCTCTCATTTTATATATTTCCTTCCATCTAGCTCCTTCCCAAGAGAACATATTTTGTGGATCCCTTCAAATCTCTCCAGACCAACCATAAGTGCCATTGCAGTTGCAGAGAGAACCCTAATTTCGAATCCTTTTCCCTCTCAATAACCATGGGTTCAAGGCATTTCTGCACTTCTAGAAGACCCAAATATTGCCCTAATAAGTAGGCCCCAATCATGAGTCTATAACTGTGCTTCTTCTTTCAGATTCAATGGCGGATACTAGCTTGGACCAGCTCCCTGATAAAAGAGTTGCAGCTCGATATATAAAAGGAGTGACCCTTGGTGAAGGGACTTATGGCATTGTTTTCAAAGCTCTCGACACTAAGGTAAAAACCAGGAATAGTCCTTTATTTTTCTGTATTTATTGTTAAGTTGGTACCCATTCATTCATTCTCTTTGTTATAGCATGTTGTACTTGTATTTTGATGCATTTTATAATTGCCTGTTGTATATCGTCTTAGACGGGGCTTATATCTTGATTATGATGCCGCAAATTTCATTATTACGTTGTTGTGGTGCAATGATTTTTATAGTAGAATCCGTTTCATGCGAAAAGTACTCAGTTAAGATGCAAATATGATTAAACTACAAAGAATTATCCAAGCTATTACCTTTGTTGACTTATTCATAATTAGTGGATCGATAGTTATTTAGGTTGGGTTCATACTGTGAATCATATCTTTGCTGGACTTGAATCTACAATTTGATATGAATAAGTAAAATGTGAGGCAATGACCGCTTTCGATTTCCACTGGACCATTACAGAATTTTACTGGAGGTTGCTCCTTTTCGATTTGCCTCCTTCATTGCAAAACTCGCATAAAGGAAGAGGATTTGGATATTTTGGGGTTCTATTTCAGTTAGTTACCAAATATGTTGGCTAGTCATAGGGACATGGATGACTGACGATTATGGCACTCTACTACTACCATATGTATAGTGAATTCGGGGTCTGAAACTGTAAGAATGCATGATGTGGTCCCGTTACTTGAAATTTATGACTTTCATAAATGCTTCTTGGCTGAGAATGGGCTCGGCAGAGGTGATCAATGTTGTGGGTGCCACAGCATGATGATGTCTAGAATTTGATTCTCACCAGGTCCCAAATTGACATTAAAAAAAAAAAAAATTCTTGAATGATAACAGTATAACCCAGACTGTATCGCTTTCTGAGAATGGCTTGTTTTGAATAATTCCATTTTTAGATTTGATTTCCAGCCCAGGTTCCCTCATTTCCGTAGAACTCCTGAATAAATGGAGTTCTATCAGTCTTTTAGAAGAGTGGAGTGGAGTTAATGGGATAGTCCGCCGTTTTCTAGATCTTAAAAGGAAGGGATGTTTAGCAAAGGATTCTTGTATTCTTACCCTATGAGAGATTCTTCTATAAAAAATTATACGAAATGAAGCTTTAGAAATGCTGTAGAAGTGAAGGAAAGGGACTATTGGATTGAAATTTGAACTATGATCCCTGGCTCATTTTTTTCTTCATCATCTTGTATGATGACCTTGAACCAAAATTTACCTTAATAACAAGTAGTTCTGTAATGGACCAGGAAAAAGGAGAAAACACATGGACGTATTGCCTTAAAGTTTTGACCGAGAGACAAAAGAGAATCTCCTTTTCTTTTTAATGAATTTGAACTGCTCTTTTTCTTTGTCGCTATCATTTTAATTGGTGCTCAATTAAGATTTTGTCAAAGGTATCGGGATACGAAGAAGTTTTGTCTCAAACATTTCATGCATGCTTTTGCTCCCCACCTCATTAGTAGTTTAACTTTTGAAGAGTCATGTAACTTAGGTTCCTTTTGTTTGCAGACAAATCAAACAGTTGCTATCAAAAAAATTCGATTGGGGAAGCACAAGGAAGGCGTAAATGTTACTGCACTAAGGGAAATTAAATTGCTCAAGGAGCTTAAAGATCCTAATGTAATCGAGTTAATAGATGCTTATCCTCACAAAGGAAATCTGCATCTTGTCTTTGAGTTCATGGAGAGTGATCTTGAAGCAGTTATTCGAGATCGTAACATTGTCCTTTCTCCAGCTGATATAAAATCATATATGCAGATGACACTCAAGGGCCTTGCTTATTGCCATAGAAAATGGGTCCTTCACAGGTGGAAATGCTTCTTGAATAAATGTGCTCTTCTTATTTTATGTTAGAAATCGAATTTGGGGCTGCAATTTGCTTTAGGGAGCCTATGAGCTTATAACTCTTGAAAGATTCTGACTATGCAGGGACATGAAACCAAATAACTTATTGATAGGATCTGATGGGCAATTGAAACTTGCAGACTTTGGTTTAGCTCGCATATTTGGGAGCCCAGACCGCAAATTCACTCACCAGGTTTGAACTTGTCTTCAGGTGAAATCTGAGTTTGTCTTTATTGTATGGGGACAGTGCATGGATTATCTATTGTGTTCCATTTTTTTGTATCCAAATTTTTATTGGCTATCTTCAGTGAAAAACTATTCTAATTGGATGATGTAGGACCTTAGACTTGTGTAATATGTAGTTCAAATGTTGAAAACTTGAATTTGACAATGTCTAATGCTACCTAAGTTCTACCCAGAATTCATCTTTAAATTTATCCAATTGAGCCATATCTGTGTTTGTAACTATTCACATGCGTTGACAACCACCTCATTTCTGGCTTGAATTAAGCAGACCCAGGCACATTCCATGAAGCAGTGAGTCTATCCACTTTTAATGAAAACCACTTGCCCCATAGCCGTATTGTGGTTAACCATATCCTGGATTCATTGCGGGAAGTTTAACACCTCTGATATCTATAGCTTCCACCTTCAGCGAAGTGCTCTTGTACATCCTGTTCCGGTTGACAACATGTTGGCTCTTCAAGGTTTTCTTATATGGAATTTGAGAACCTTACTGATGATTGTTAATTATAAGAAGAGGAAAGAAGAAGAGAGAGAGAAAAGGATGGGGTGGTGGTGGTGGGGTCCCTATTCCAGGAGATGGCTTATCTATGAATAAAGTATCAGTATGTTTGTTGAAATGATCAGTATCTTGATATCAGAATTGAATACCATGACATTGAGAAGTTTGCCTAAAAAAGGTTGATGAAGGCTTAAGCTACATTTGACTGTTTTGGAATCCCTTAAAACAACTTGGCCTGAAACTAACTATGTTTCTGAAGTCCCATGTCTTTGCCTGAATATTATGAGGGACTAAAATGATGTATCTTCTCAACAAGCCTAGCGTACTTGGGTCAGATGCCAGCCAACTTCAAGAAGATGAATTATTAACTCTTGACAACCAAAACCATTTAGAAAGGAAAACAATATTCTCGAATCCAGAGAGAATTATCCAGACATTAAAAAGAAGAAAAATCTGTTGCAACTGAGCTGGCGGTTGGGGCTGTGGGGGATAAGAAGGACATGCTTATTTTTCTGTGATATGGTTCTCTTCTATCCTGCAAATTGTTTTCCTTTGCTCCTTGAGAACTCTGGATGCTACCCCTATGTCCATCATTTTGGTGTTGCCATATATGTCTCATCTTATTAGCAGTATCTAGTATTAGTTTCTACATGCTTTAATATTTATACATTTTTTTATGATTATTCCAAGTTTCAACAAAGATGCCCTCTCTCTCTCTCTCTCACTCTCTTTCCAAATAAAATTGGAAAATATCATTTAGGCATCAAAATCCATTACAAAATCATATATGGGGTTAAAAGATCCCACTTAGCACTCGAAGGTTTACTTTTAAATTTTCATTTCACTCACATACCTTTTCAAAAAATTTCTTAAAGAATGCCCAAATTGTCCTTACTCAAGGTTGGGAACCTAAACAATCAGGGGCATTTCAGTAATTTGACCCCACCTTGAACAAGCAGCAGATACGTGGTGTTTTGGTTGGGCCCCTTAGGTGGGTCAAACTACTGACAAGGCCACTGCTTGTTGGTGCTTCCCAACCTTGAGTAGGGGCATTTTGGGCATTACTGAGGATATGTTCTTAGTAGGTACCTAAGTGAAATGGAAAATATAAAGTAAACCTGCTAATTTTGATTAGGATATTTTGACTTTTAACAATTTTGTAAGGGGCTATAACTCTCTAATATTTTTTTCCAACAAAAAAAAAAAAAACCCTTAGCACTTCCTTGTTCACTTTCTACGTGCTGATCAGTTAGTGAAACTCTTACTTATGCTGTTTTTTATGCTGACGGACCTCTCTCTGATTTGAATTCTTGCTCTCTCAAACTGTTGATTCCTATACACAGTTTCAGGGATCTGTGGGTTCTCTCGTTTCTTTTATATTTTCACATCCATCACTGTTATTAAACTGACACAGTTTATATTCCGTTGCTAAAGTCTGCCTTTTTTCACAAGTGCTATATTTTTTTTTCCTTATTAAGTCATAGGATTCTAATGAGACAAAACTGTTTCATCAAGGTTTTTGCGCGATGGTATAGAGCACCCGAGTTGCTTTTTGGGACCAAACATTATGGAGCTGGAGTGGATGTTTGGGCTGCTGGTTGTATATTTGCCGAACTTCTCCTCCGTCGACCTTTTCTTCAGGTAAAGCAGTTTCTTCTTGATAGACAACATTCATTTTCATTCCAGTGGTATTAATTGTCCTATTACATGACCTAGTGTGATATGAAACATTTGACCTAGCCTATATGACCATGGTTAGCCGACTCCAATTAATTGAGAAAAGGCTATTATGATGATGATGATATGACCACGGTTGCATTTTAACCATCTTCAAAGTTGTGTTTATGGATCCATAATTTTGCTTTATGTGTTGGAAAGCTTTATGAGCCATGGTTGCATGAACTTTGGGGATCAGAGATCCAATATGTTGTGACCAAAGAGGACAGCATACTTTTTGTGGATGTCCTCAATAGTGACAAGTTTTTTGTTGCTAAGAAGGGAGAAGGAATATGAAATGTCAGTAGTTTACATGTGAATTGTTTACGGTTCAGGGAGGGTAGAGAATGCGTTATTTTGAGGTCCGGACTCATAACTTCTTTGGATTGAGAGCTGATGACGTTGTCCAAGAGTTATGTCTTTTAGTAGCAGACTATGACCTAGGCCAAGGGTTCCATATGCTGGGATGCCAGGTAGCGTGCCATACATACGTACACGCATACACACACACACATACATATAT